ACATTGGTGATTTCCTTAATGTATGTCCGATCCACTTCCAACGTCTTTTCCTTATTTCCTCTTCAGCTGGAAGCTGGTTTGTCCTCTCCCATAAAACGCTGTTGCTGATAGTATCCGGCCAATGGATGTTGAGTATTTTGCGTAGACAACTGTTTATAAATACTTGTACCTTCCTGATGATGGTCGTAGTAGTTCTCCACGTTTCAGCTCCATACAGTAGGACTGTCTTGACGTTCGTATTAAAGATTCTGACCTTGAAATTGGTTGAGAGTTGTTTTGAGTTCCATATGTTCTGCAATTGTAGAAATGCTGCCCTTGCTTTGCCAATCCTTGCCTTTACATCTGCATCCGATCCTCCTTGTTTATCAACGATGCTCCCCAGGTACTTGAATGTTTCCACCTCTTCCAGAGTTTCGCCATCAAGCGTGATTGGGTCGGTGTTCTCCGTGTTGCATTTGAGAATCTTGCTTTTTCCTTTGTGAATGTGGAGGCCTATCGATGCGGAGGCTGCTGCTACATTTGCTGTCTTCATCTGCATTTGGTCGTGTGTATGAGAGAGGAGGGCTAGGTCATCTGCGAAGTCCAAATCATCTAATTGATTCTGAGAAGTCCATTGTATTCCGTATTTCCCTTCAGATGTCGAATTCGTCATAATCCAGTCAATCACTAGAAGGAAGAGAAATGGGGAGAGTAGACAGCCTTGTCTGACTCCGGTCCTTACTGGAAATGCATCTGTCAGCTGTCCTCCATGCACCACTTTGCACTGTAATACATCGTATGAGTTTTGGATAATGTTGACGATCTTCTAAGGAACTCCATAGTGTCGAAGAAGTTTCCACAATGTTCTCCTATCCACGCTGTCAAACGCCTTCTCATAGTCGATGAAGTTGACGTATAGTGATGAGTTCCACTCAACTGATTATTCAACGATGATCCGTAGTGTCGCAATCTGGTCTGTGCACGACCGATCCTTACGGAATCCAGCCTGATGATCCCTAAGTTCGGCGTCTACTGCGTCTTTCATCCGATTCAGCAGCACTCTGTTGAAAACTTTTCCTGGTACTGATAACAAACTGATGCCTCTGTAGTTCTCACATTGGCTCAGATCTCCTTTCTTTGGTATCTTGATGAGATATCCTTCTTTCCAGTCCGTTGGCACTTGTTCCTCTTCCCAAATCTTTTTGAATAGAAGGTGAAGCATGTTTGCAGTTATTTCAATGTCTGACTTCAGTGCTTCTGCTGGTATATTGTCAGGTCCTGCCGCCTTCCCACTTTTGATTTGTCTGATGGCCATCTTGACTTCTTCGATCGTTGGTGGAGTGACATCTATTGGAAGGTCAGTGTGGGCTGCTTCGATGTTCGGTGGATTCGATGGGGCGGGTCTATTCAGCAGTTCCTCAAAGTATTCTGCCCATCTTTTCCTCTGTTCCTGAATCTCAGTGATTGTCTTTCCTTCTTTGTCTTTGACTGGTCTCTCTGGTTTGCTATATCTCCCTGCCAATTTCTTCGTTGTATCATATAGTTGTTTCATATTCCCTTCTCTTGCAGCTTTTTCCGCCGCCGTTGCTAGTTCTCCCATGTATTTCTGCTTGTCGGCTTTAATGCTTTTCTTCACTTCCCCGTTACCTTCTGCGTAGTCTGCTTGTGCTTTGACTTTCTCTGCTCGTGTTCGGCTGTTGTTAATTGCTAGTTTCTTGTTCTTCCTTTCTTGAAGTTTGTCCAGGGTTCCCATAGAGATCCATTCCTTGTGATGGTGCTTCTTAGGACCAAGAACCTCCTGACACGTTGAAGTTAGTGCTTCCTTTATCCCTTTCCAGTTGTCCTCCAAAGTAGTTTCTTGTTCTTTCAGTAGATCCTGTAGAGCTTGGAACCTGTTGTTGAGAGTTATCTTGAATTCATGGAGTTTGTCAGTATCTCGAAGGAAGGCTGTATTAAACCTTTGTAGTGCTGTTTGTCCAGTTGTCCAGTCTTTCTTTAGCTTCAGTCTCATCTTGGCCACAACCAGGTGGTGATCTGAAGCTATGTCAGCTCCTCTCCGGGTTCTCACATCTTCCATTGATCTTCGGAATTTTTTGTTGATACAGATGTGATCAATCTGGTTCTCTGTGGTGTGGTCCGGTGAGATCCATGTAGCTTTGTGTATGCGTTTGTGTGGGAATATTGTGCCGCCTATAACCAATTTGTTGAAAGCACATAGGTTTGCAAGTCTCTCCCCATTTTCATTTCTCTCTCCTAGTCCATGTCGTCCAATTACATCTTCATATCCTGTGTTGTCCACTCCAACTTTAGCATTTAGATCTCCCATAAGGATGGTGAGGTCCTTTCGTGAGCACTTTGCTATAATTGATTGCAGCCTTTCATAGAACTGATCTTTATCATCGTCGTTGCTATCATTGGTGGGTGCATAACATTGGATAACATTCATTGTGATCCCTTGCTTCTTTGTTCTGAATGATGCTTTGATTATCCTGGGTCCATGAGATTCCCATCCCACAAGTGCATTTCGTGCTTCTCTTGACAGCATTAGAGCAACTCCCTGAGTGTGTGGCGCATTTTCCCCTTCGTGACCGGAGTACAGCAGCATCTCTCCTGTACCTAGCCTTTGTTGTCCAGTTTGTGTCCAATGGGTTTCGCTGATTCCGAGTACTGCCAAGTTGTATCTCCTCATTTCCATTGCTATTTGGCTGGTCTTTCCTGTTTCCCACATTGTCCGGACGTTCCATGTACCTATAAAGAGTGTTGCTCTGGTTGTTAGAAGGTGCATCGGTCTCGTGACTTCCGAAGAATTTCGGCTTTCATCATGAGACGTCATAATTATTCCTTCAACTCCCAGGGCAGAGTTTAAATGGTTTGGATTATTTTTTCTGGTTAGCGTTTTTTTAGCGAGTTAGCTTTTCTACGGGATGGGGTCGCTAACCCCATGCCCAACCCTCCTCCTTTACCCGGGCTTGGGACCGGCAGTAACTCTAGAAGAGCTACAGGCGGAATTGACACCGTACTAGCCTCCCACTCTATTTTAAATCTGGACTACTTAAACGATATGTGGTAAAGATAATTATAAAATGTAGAACTGCAATAATGAATGTATTCAGCTTCGTGCCTGAATGGATTATCTCTAGGAAAGACCGTTAGATCCGTTGTAATCCAGAGTGATAGCTATAAATTGTATCGTAACCAGTGCACAAGACTCTACACTAAACTTGTATGTGGTATGGATGTGGAGGAATCGATCGTCAACAGACCACTTTAATCAAATGATCTGAAAAGCAATTAACTGATTCATTTCCCATTGTCAATGGGTTGGACTCCAACCTATAAATAGCAAAAGCAAATCGCATTCATACCCATGTGTGTACTATGTATTGTATAGGTTTCGGTCTATGCATTCTACACATGCAAATAAGTAACGTATACTTGTGACAGGAAGCATCTATGCTCGTATAGGTAGCATGTAGTGCATATAATCTGGTCTAGGTATTTTATACATGCATGTAACAAACACTTGTGCTGTTATTCATGTTTCATACTGCTTTATTCATCATTGTTCTCAATGCTTTAGAGTTGTTACTGAGTTTCCCGACAGGAATATCCCTAATGTAGCTGTAAAGAAGTAGAGTAATAGTGTGTTCGTCTAGTTCATAAAGTATTGTTGACTCGAAGTCCTTAGTATACACGAATTGAACCAAAGTAAATTGCCAGCGTGTCTGTTCGCTTTGGTTTATTCAGTGTCCTAATCTCGTGTATTTTAACAAAATTTATTTTCTCCGATAATCCAATCGACTTTCCGACTTGTTTGTGTGGGATTAACTAATTCCCATAGTAGGTTGGGAAGGACAACAAGCTGCAGTGATGATTTAGAAGTTAAAGTACCTGGATTTCAACAGTTAAGTGCTGGGTTCAAAACATAAGACACCTAGAACAAATTGAATAACAATGCACTGTCGTTAGACCTTACATCAAAAGTGTAACTCATAGTCTAGTACTCAAGCTTTTGTTTGATAAATAAGCCCTATAGGCCCGGATAGTGAGTTGCTGAAATTGTGTAAAAGATATCGAAGTCAATGAGGTTCCATATTCTCTCCTCCCATCAACTGATCTACCATTGGGACACAAGCACTGTATGTCCAACCTAAACATTACACAATAGTGATTCCCTATGAGAAAGAAACGTGAAAATGGAAGTATGGAAATTACAAAACTTTTTTTGAGGAATCAGTTTGTGTACCTTTTTATATTTATTTATTAAACAGTTAGTTTATGGTAAGCAGAGATGGATAGTGGCTAGCAGTGGAATCCAGGACGCGCGTTTCGTCCTATTTGGGACTCGTCAGCTGGATGTACCTGCATCTCAGAGTTGATGTTCACTCTGGGACTCGAACCCAGTACCCTCGCTTCAAACGCCGTCGCGTTATCCACTCGGCCACTGAGTATTTCAATATTGTTCTACTTGTATGTTCTACATTCGCCTACTTATTGACCTCAGTGATGTCCCGTTCATTTCGGCATTTAGAAATCATAGTTAATTAGCGATACGCCTGTATTACTCAATTCGCTGTGACAAATGTCTTGTTCTTTTACCTATTGAGAATTATTATTTCATGGCAAGTTGGGATTATGAATTTTATGTTTATATCAAGTAAGTTTCTGATTTAAACAAATCCAAGTTATTTTACTTGGATAGTCTTTGATTGGTGGTTGAGTCTAGGAACAGGTGAATTTAGTGTAGTTTTATGAATAGTTTTTTTGAGACTCATTCTATCAAGCAGACATTCATGTAGGTTGGCTTTGAGCCACGCTTTATATGTGAGATATGTTGCTAAAAATGACCTAAGTAAAATAGGGAATCGAACTTAAGGCCGCATATGATGGCGTTAATAGACCCAGAATTTGGTAGGAATAGGCTGAATTACCAATTGTTGCAGAGTATGTGATATATTAAACAATATATATATATATATATATATATATATATATATATATATATATGGAAATTCACTCACGTGGATTACGTTGATAAGCTGCACGAAAATATGTCGTCGGTAAACAACCTTCTTTATTTCCTTCACATAGAATAACATTATTTTTTGATATGTAGAATTTATATCCATCATTTATTGCTTTAATCAAATCAATATAGATAATAATCTCAGCACTTGAACGCATACCACTAATCACACCAGTTTCACCAACTTCACCCGGTGCAAAATGTATATGAGTACGTTGCATACGTTTTAAGCCCTCTTTACGTATTGAATCCCAATTACGAAAATATGTACCATGGATAACAGTTGGATAATCTTCAGGATTTTCAATTAACGCAATATCTAATCCTTCGATCTGTGTGAATAAGTGAGAGAGTGGAAGAGGAGGAAAACAGAATAATACAGTAGAATACTGCTACTACTTAAATTCAGTAAATTCATGAGTGAGAAAGAAAAAAATACTGGCATTTAAACTGGATTAAACAAGGCTTTCTACCGACTGTTAAGTTGAAAAAAGCAAACAAATTATTTGGGTTGTATTGGGTTTTGTGTGGTCTGGCCATAATAATAAGAAGGGGTTGTATGATCTCCCTTTCTTTATTATAATCGGTTCAATCATGACTCAAAACCCATACAACAACATATCTCGAATGTTTGATCATACAACAACACAATTAGAAAATAACAATATTTAATTAATCTAGTCACAAGTGGTACAATATGGGGAATTAATTAATTACTGATAAATCTGGAACAATAAGATATACAACAACGATTTCTGGGTCGAAAGAAAGCTTAGAAATCGGAGAATAAAATAGTGCGAGTCTAGGAGTCTAATAATTACTGAGTTGAAAATATAGACAATAATTCTTCGCATGGTATCCTTACAGGTTATACTTCTACACTATTCTCCAGGCTGTATCATCAACAATTTCCAACTACATAACAAATCAAAATATAGCGTTGAGTCACATGGACTAGTAGTCGAAACGCAAAATGATTAATAAAATTTGGTCAATACCAAAGGGCTAGACAAACGTGCTAGCGGTTACTACTCAACGAGTGCTCTATGCAAATATCTCAGTCCTGCAGGAGGTCAGTCATGACACTATTAGATCAATGGTAAAGTCTTAGACTGGGAAGCTGGGTTGACACGGGTTCGAATACAGTGAGAAGCATTGGCTTGTTCAAGTGAAGGTACAGCATAGTGACAAACAATATGTAACCTACGTGAAAACAGGGTTTACTGCCTAACATAAAAGAATGATACCATTGAGATTATCGTGATTGGAAATAGTTTGATCAGCATTATATGTATATATACCCCAATGGTTTCATGATATCATTACACAGTAATGCATTAGTAACTTACATAGGCCGAGAAGTCTAACAAAAAAACACAGTACAGCTAGGGTATCCATAAAGTGACTTGTTCTAATTATAGAAGTCAGAAATTAGAAGCTATATGAAAATGACATGTTGATAGGTTTGCATACATTTACTCAATAATACGTGTTTTGATTATGAGGACTGAAGAAACATATATTATTTTACTTTTATCATTCACTTGAGATGATTAAAAAAACATAACCACACTATAATGGGATAATTGTTATTACAAACTATTTTTAGCTGAAGAACCGATGAAAATCAGATGAAGCACTGGACAGTGGTTTTATCCTAAGTTCTGGGATTTCAAAGTAGTAGGGATATACAATCCTGATCAAACTCAAGACTTTTAGATTTTGTGGTAAACGTAATACTATCCAGCAAATGAGCTAGAATTTCGTGATTTATATATACTAATATCAGTTGAGTTGTGAAATAATGCGATGGAAAACGAATGTACATTATTGGATGATTGACTCATTTTCGAATCTAGTGAGATTCCTGTTTAGATGGTGAATTCTCACTAGAACGTTGAAAAACCGTCTGAAAGTTAGTCAGTGGAGAGCAGTGAAGTATCGTCTCTAATTGCACAGCTTATGGAAAGTTATATGAATTTCTAATCATGAGTTAACGTTGACCTATGGACCAGTGAATTTTATTTCATTTGACGTTATATCAATATAATGTAGCGTACAGCTTAAATCTAGGCTTAAACATAGAAGTTAAATTATGAGATCTTCACAAAAACAATAGTTATTGATTTTTAGTGAAATAAAATTATCTCCTATTATACAGCTTTCCTATCCGGAAAATTAGTACATGGTACATTCTATGTTCAATATAAAACATACATGTTAGAAGTAAACTTACTAAAGATTTGCTGTTAACATAGATAAATCTGTTACTTAAGCTCAAAGACTTTTATGTATGTGACTGCGTGAAAGTCATTTCATTTCTAAGTCATTCTGTGTGAACATTACAATTGCATATAGTGTCAATGTAATTGGCACATTCATAAAAAGAAACATAATTTTCATTCGTTTTCGTTTTCTGAAAAACAAAACAAATAACTCCTAATTCTATTGAGTGCGATCTTATGAAAAATAAAATCTCTTGTTAGTGTACAGGGTCGTAGAGATTGTTTTGTTTTTATTGAGATAATGTAGCGACCGACGTTAGACCAACATTGAAAACTTGGAAGAACTGAATGGCCGTTTCGCCCTAGTATGGGACACTGTGTCGGGTGTGAGACAATTTTCCACCTCAGACAATGGAATATGGTCGCGTAATATCGTGTATTGGTTGAAGTTAGACATTAACGCCGACTTAGTGGTCTGGAAGTTAAGCGTTCGCGTGAGACTGAAGGTTCTGGGCTCGACTGCTGAGTGCGCGATCATGGATGCGCACTGCTGAGAAGTCTCAAACAAAGGAGAAACGACCGTTCAGAGACTACAGGTTTTTATTGGCGGTTTAACAACGATCGGTTCATGATCTGAATAAAAAATACCTTGTTTAATGAATAAAATAAATGATTATTTTCATTAATTTATTTACTAACCTATAAATAGACAGTGTGATTCCATACATTTCGATTTGCATCGTTTTAAGTGTGAAAATGTATGATTTTGTACGTTTAGAATAAACGACAGCAATTGGTAGTATGTCGGAGGAATAGTTCGATTTCGGTTAACAATAAAAATAACAAAAACAAATAATGCAAAATAACAATAATAATAATGAATAAAATTCCGAAAATGTTTACAATCTTTTCGTCAGTTGTCTAACTTGAAACTTGTTAGGTTGGAGCGAATAATTGGTAATGCTGGAACTTTTATATATATATATATATATATATATATATATATATATATAAATTGTGTAATTATTAAACACTTGAGTTGTAGCATTTGTTTATTCCCACACTGTAAGCATTCAATTTTGAATAAACAGCATTGTATGTTTTTAACGTTCCTAAGTTATTCATAAATAATTATGAAACTGTTATTACGTTTTATATCACAAATGGCATAATTAAGCTAAGATTGTGGTTTACCACCGTTAAAGTATTGTGGTCAAATAAATGATATATATAATTCTATTCCTTTGAGTGAAAATTCTTCAACCAACTCTACTCCGGACTCCTTTTTTCAGTTCTTTCCAATAGCTATTCAAATTAGGGCATACCTTTTGTTGAAGTTGGATGGTTTCCGTAAAATATATCCTATCCACCTCCAATGTCTTTTCCTGATTTCCTCTTTAGCTGGAAGTTGGTTTGTTCGCTTCCAAAATAGGTTGTTGCTAATGCTATCCGACCAACGGATATTGAGTATACTATATAGACAACTTCGTATAAATAACTGTACCTTTTTTGTAATATAGTTGTAGTAGCCCTCCAAGTTTCAGCTCCGTACAATAGAACTGTCTTGATGCTTTTATTGAAAATTCTGACTCCTGTTGGCTGACAGTTATCTCGAGTACCGTATGTTCTTCAGTTGTAGGGATGCTGCACTTGCTTTGTCAATTTTCGCCTTCACATCTGAATCAGATCTTCATTTTTCATCAATGATGCTGCACAGGTACTTACCACTTTCCACCCCTTCCACAGCTTGGTTGGTGGCCTCTTTGTTGTATTTGAGGATCTTGTTTCTTACCTTGTGTATGTTGAGGCCTACTGCTGTAGAGTCTGCTACTACATTGGCTGTCTTCACCTGCATTTGTTGCTGTGTATGAGACAGAACAGCTAGGTCGTCTGCAAAGTTCAGATCATCCAGCTGCATTCAAGCTCTCCATTGTATTCCGTGCTTCCCCTGAGGTGCAGAGGTCTTCATAATCCAGTGTAGTCCGTCGTATGAATTCCGGATGATGTTGACGATCTTCTCAGGTACACCATAGTGTTGAAGAAAGTTCAATAAGGTTCTTCTATTCACGCTGTCAAACACCTTCCCATAGTCAAGGCAAGAGATGTATGGTAATGAATTCTATTCAGTTGATTGCTCAACAATGGTCCGTAGTGTCACGATTTGGTCTGTACACGACCGATCATCACGGAATCCAGCCTGTTGATTTCGAAGTTGGGCGTCTACTGAACCTTTCATTCGGTTCAGCAATATTCCGTTGAAAATGTTTTCTGGTACTGATATTAATGTGATGTCACTGCAGTTCTCACACTTGCTCAGTTCTTCTTTCACTGGTATTTTGATCAAGTAATGTTCTTTTCAGTCTATCGTCACTTGTTCTTGTTATAAACGTAAGTATGCCGTCGCCAATTGTTATATGCTTAAAGGAGAGGATGCTGGTTATAACAGTAGGGGTTCTTGTTATAACAGTCCTTTTACTTCTTACATGTATGTGGGACGTTAATTTATCTTAGACGAATATCTACACTAGATTCCCACCCAGTGTCTATTCTACAGGACTTCAACACAACTCAGATCAAGAACACGAGATTAGCCTGACTATAACGTCAATATATTTCCACACCAAAATCCGACACAAAGAACAGTCAATCAATAAGTGTCCATCAACAAGGAACAGTCAATACATAATAAGGATAGGGGAATACATATATAACACATAACACCTGTCATCCTATCTAATGTCTGACTCATCGAGACAACCAATCATTGTCATTCTCGCCCACACATCAGTTCTCCCTTCCAAATCTTCCTGAATAGAAAGTGGAACATCTTTGCAGTTAATTCTGTCTGAGTTCAGTACTTCAGCTAGTATGTTTCCTTGAGTAGATGTTGAAAAATTTGAATTCGTTGAGCTCGTGAGTATCTCGAAGGAAGACTGTATTAAACGATTGTAAGTCTGTTTCTCCAAAAGTTGTCCAGTGCTTCTTTAGCGTCCGTTTCATTTCGGTCACGACCAAGCGGAGATATGAAGCTATTTAAACTCCCCTCTTTGTTTCCATGTCTTACATGGATTTCCTGAACTTTTTATTTGTGCAGGTATGATCGATCT